GGTGTGCTCCCCTCCGCTCCCGTCGGTGGCCCCGATGAGGACGTTTGCGTGGTTGAACTTGGCGTGCTGTTGAAAAACTCATGTTTTGATGATGTCATCGTCTAGGGACATGATGTGTTGGCGGACTGCTTGTAGGGCCCATTTAGCAGGTACGATCCCTCGGAGCCAGAGGCAAGCATTCTGGGGGCACTCCTGGACTGCTTGATGAACTGAACCTTGGGTCTTCTGGATGGCCTCTGAACCTAACGAGGGGAGCTCGGGGTAGGTCCAGAACTTGTGAAGGTCGTCCGCATTCGCCTGACCACAAAGTAGGCAGTCGGCGTGATCCTGGAGCCCTGCTTCAAATCTGCGCTCTTCACTCCAGCACTTGGAACAGGCAACTGCAGACATGGCGGAGGGGTAGGAGGCGAGCCTGGTGAGGTACTCTTCTTTGGTGGCCCTCTGGACCCTGGTGAGCTCCTCCTCCTCCATCTTCTTCCTCTGCTTCCTGATGGCTGCTGCATTCCTGCTGGGGTAAAGCCTCATTGCTGTGATATCTCATCCTTCCTCCAACCCTGCGGAATTGTGGCTATTGGGGCAATTGAGGCTCCAGAGGCGCATGGAGAGGAGGAACTGCATGTGATAGAGGAAGCGTTGCTGCTGGCCCCAGCTGGGCGGCTTCACACTGAAAACCTGGCCCGACCACTGCCAGGCAGTGGTGGGCTCCCAACCTACGTCGTAAAGGGTGGCGATGACCGCCGACAGGTGCGACTTCACGCGAAGCCACCGATACTGCGAACGAAGCTTGTCTCGTAGCAGAGGCCATGCTCTTTGGATTCCTCCCAGGAGGCCCAGCTCGTTATTGATGAATCGGAACCAAGTCTGAAATAGGTTTTTCCTGAGGAATATTGCGGGGTCAACTTCTGCGGGTCCTGCCTTGAGTGCGTGGGGTCCAGTGGTGAGGCAAGCTCCTGATTTAGATACTCCAAAAGCAGATGCGGTCTGGCGGCGCAGAAAAAAAAAAACACTTCTGACGGTGAGGTCCCGTGACCTTGCATGCCCCGCAACATCTGGGGCTGCGCTCCTGTGCGATAAAGAGAACGAGCCTTGGTCGTTGTCCTGGCCAGCTTCTTAATGTTCCTTGCCCTGAGGAGTCCTAGGGTGAGACGTTTCCTACGTACCTTGAGGGTCCGACGGCGTCCCACGGAGGCATCCATCCCGAGGTCCCTGGCGTGGCCGAGGGGCTTGATGCGGATCCCGTGGTCCTGGGGGGTGCCCGCGACGGCCTTGCTGAGGTCCAGGGAGCTGGCCAGAACGACTGACTTATCCGAGAGACGGCAGCCTAGTTCTGCGAGTCCTTGGCAGAGGTTCATGATGCAACTGGGAAAGGTCTCCTTCAACATGCCGGGGCTGCCGACCATCCGAATTCTTATGTCGTCCACCCATGTCCTGATGGTGGGCCTAGGGATCTGGTAGTGGGCCCTCTCGAGTACCTCGTAGAATAGGGCCCTGGTCCATGGTGCACTCTGTCCACATTCTTGAAGTATAGACTTGAGTGGCGTTAACGGATTGCTGACCCCGATAGGCGCAGTGAGGGCCCTGACGGCGGCGTGGACCAGGACCCCCAGGGGGAGCGGGACCACGGGGTAACCTAACTGCAGCGTCTTCTGGGAGAGCTTCTGGATATCTATGGCGTCAAAAAAACTTTTCGAGGTCGAGCACGCCCTCGACAATGCTGGCCTGGAGTATCCCTCCGATCTCGGCGAAAACCTCGCTGAGCAGAGCGGCCTGTAGACAATCACTACCTTTGATGGCTGCACCCCAGAAACCAGCCCGAACTTCTTCCCAAGATGATATCCGACCTTTGAAGAGCCTCATGGTGGCCCGATAGGGCGCATTAGTGAGGGTGATAGGTCGGTCACTGATTTCCGCCTTGGGCTTGAGGGCCACGAGGTTTATTAGACATTGGGCTGGATACTGCTGCAGCCTACAAATATCACTGATTATATATGTTAGGATCTCCAATCCTGCTTCTGGTAGTCGGCGAAGATCTGCGGTGCGCCACTGGTCGGCGCCAGGTGCAGAGCTGGCAGGGAAAGACTTAAGCGCGGCTGCTACCTGGGTGGGCGTGAACTGGTCGTCTTGATCCCAAGAGTCCCGTGCCTGCTGCCTAGCCTCTTGAATCCAATGAGCCTCGGGGGGGACCTCCAAGTTGTTTCCCTCTGGGTCCCAGTACTTCAGCCAAAACTCGCCCTTGTGAACTAAGACCTGCATGGGGTCCGTAACTATGTTGTCATTGGCATCTGTGAAGATATCGTTGTCCTCCTCGGGGGTGGGACCTGGGATCTTCGCGATATGGTGGGCGCCGCCGCCGCCGCGGGCGAGGGGGTCCTCGAGCCACGACTGGAGGGCAGCATCCTGCTGCCGCAAAGCCTCTTTCTCATAAAACCGGGCTGCCACTTCTAGCTGGAAGAGGGCGTCTTCGAGTTGGTCCTCATGGAGGTTCCCGAGGAGGCACTTCTTGATCAGGTCCTGGAAATCCTGAAGGGTCCCAGGGGGCCACGGTAGGCCTTGGTGGACAATGTCGTTGATGTACCCCTGGAGTCTCTGGAAACTTTCTGAGCGGGGCTTGATCTTGCGGAGCTGGTCTCTCGCCTTGGCCCTTTGCTGGAGTACTCCCCATTGATGACTGGCAGGGTGTAAGCGCTGCTGGAAAGGAGTGGGAGGGCAGATGCTTTTCCACTCGCACTGGAAACCTTCAGCTCGCCCGAAACTCTGCGGGCAGCTCGGCGGACTCCCAAGACACCACCCCTCCAGGGCCTGACTAAGACGGGCGTACTGGTGGGTCAGGTCGGGGGAGGAGTGGGCGGCGGCAAAGGGGTGAGAAACCTCTGGCGGACCTTGCCAGTCCAGCTGGGCCTGCTCCCAGTAGTGATGCCACGGTGCCGCGGGGGCCGCTGGCGGTTGGAGCGAGGCTGCTCGCTTTTGAAACCAACCCTGCCTGATCATGATCTCTGTCTGGAAGGTCGCCCGCAAGCCGATGTGCGGCTTCCAGGGGCTGGTGGGGTCGGTCTCTACCCTGAAATATTCTCCAAAGAAATTGCTGATGATGAAGAAATCGACGAGCCTACCTCCCGAACATGTACTGTGGATCTCTGGAGCCTTGATGGTGCCCTCGATCCTGGAGACCCATGGGTTCCCGTTGGTGAGCTCCTCAGGGGTCATGTTGAAATCCCCTCCGATGACGAAAGGGAGCTTGAGCTGCTTGAGGAAGATGGTCATCTCTCGGACCACCTTGTTGTTGAAAGTATTGTAGCCTACTCCCGACTGTAAGTAGACTGAGATGAGAACGATGTTGCGCTGACTGAGACGGACTATACAGGCGGTCCAATTAGTCCCTCCCACTAATGGTTTGGCCTGTCCCTTTCCGGTCATGATGCGCGCATGCGAGTGAAACTGCTTTGACACAAATAGCCCCACTCCGCCTGAGCTGCCTGCGGGAGTGTGCGCTGCTGGGCACTGATAACACTTGTAGCCAAGCTTCCCCATGAACTTTCTAGCCTCTCCCAAACGTCCTGAAACCAGATGCGTCTCCCCTAGCATGATGATTCCTGGAAGTCCAAGACTCGAAGCTTGAAAATAATCCTTGGTTTTCTTGTTCCAATTGGTGATATTGGCATGGTAGATGGTGAGACTGTCATGAGCCCCTGGGGGGGGGGGGTGCCGTGGCCGAGCGCCACGCTCACCTGGACCCGTCCCCCCCCTCTGGCCCCTCCTGCAGGGCGCGGGCAACTGCGGCTGCGGGGCTTCTGCTCATGAGTCCTGCCGCCTCCTGCCAGATCACGCCCACGGGCTGGGTCATCTCCAGCTGCGGCTGCGGCACCATCAGCACGACGGGGTGGCACTGTGGGTTGTGGGGCCGCCGCCTTGGGCTTGGCCTTCTTGACCTTGGCCTTCGGGAGCGAGCCTTGGACCTTCTCGAGGTCCTCGAAGAACTGCTTGGCATTGTTGCCCTCCTCCCCCTCCACGCCTTGGACGAACTTGAGGAGCTCGACTGGCACTTTGGGAAGTTGAACGGCTGGTCCTTTTTCGGCGTCCTCCTCCATGGGGGCACCTCCACCCCAGCCGCGGGTGGCCTCGACGCTGGCGGCTTCGAAGGTGGAGCGGGCCTTCGCGAGCTCCTCGCCTGTGGCGTCGAACTCATCCTGCGCGGCGGTGATCTTGGCCTCCAGGTCGGCGATGGTCTCCTTGAGGTTCTCCTGCTTCTTTTCGAGGCGCCTCACCTCGTGCAGGGCTGTGGTGGCCGCAGCAGCTGGTGGTTTCTTCGGCGACTGGATCAGGCCCTGCATCTTCTTGCAAGCCTCGGTCCCCAGGTCGTCCTTCTGCTCGGGTGTGAGCTTCGCGAGGAGGAGTGAAAGGATCTCTTTCATCTCGGATGGCTTCTCCTGCTGCTCTTTGTCCTTGCCACTGGGGCCTGAGCTGCCGTTGGTGTCCTGGCCCTTGCCCATGGGGAGGTCGAACGGCTGCCCGCAGAGGCAGTACATCTTCTTCCGCGCCTTGTTCAGATATTGCCATTCTCCACAACTTGAGCAGACACAATACTGACGTCGGCGCTGCTGCTGCTGCTGCTGGTAGGACTGCTGGTAGGCCCACCACGAGTTGCCTCCCATTGCTGCTGGAGTGTCGGTGTGTGTCTGACCGACGGGAGACTGGAAAGCCACTGCTGGCAAGATGCACTTCGAGCCCATGCTGCGGGGCTCTCAGCTCCCTTAGAGCCCGTTCGGGTTCTAAAAGAGCCTTGAGCCAAAATGGCTTGAGCCAAAATGGCTACGGAGGGTTCTGCGCCCTCCTCCTCCGCCTTTGCCGCTCCTTCCCGTCGCCGCGGCCGCGGCCGTTGGCGGTCTGCCCGCTGCCTTGGCGCTGGTCCCTTCTGCGTGCCACTGGTCTTTGCCTTTTTCCCTTGCCGCCCTTGTGGTGCTTAGGCTCTCCTTCCATCTCCGCGCTTGCTCCGCGTTTGGGCGATGGTAGTCTCCACGGTGCCATCGCCATTTTTTGCGCTGCATGGTCCAGGATGGTGGCAGCGAGCTTGTACCTGAAGCCCTCCAAGGGTTGAGCCGGAAAGCCACAGAGGATGCAGACGAGGGAAGGGGGCTTTGGTACTGGGTGATTCCAGCAGCTTTTGTTTTTGTTGCAAATCCCGTGGCTCTCCGTTGCTCTCATTACATGGTCGGTTGTGCTCTTTTCGACGCGAAAGAGCTCAAGCACCATGGACACTGATTCGTTATCACCAGGCTGGGGATCAGCGGAAGACAGTTGTGCACCACTCTCCTGTGCATTGCCAGCGCCGCCGCCGTTGTAAATTGCGCTCCGCACACCTGCCTCTCTGTCCAAGTTTCCCAGTCACCAAAACTGAGCCACCACTTGTTCTCCCACCGTAATTTCTGGTAACATTGTGCCCCAGGCCTCAGGAGGAGGAGGAGGAGGAGGAGGAGGAGGAGGAGGAGGAGGTTGGCTCGCTGTGGAGCGATCTCAGAGCGTTCTGGTGATGCCGCGGTGCCCCATGCATGCTCCAGACTTGGCGGCTCTCATGGGCTCCCGAGCGGTCCCGGTTTATCCGAGGTTGTTGTCCTCCCGGTTTTGTCTTCTTATTAGGCCTCCCAAATTGAGTCCAAGTAGATGGGGTCGATGGATTGTGCCGCATCGCCGATGCACCGTCGATGTGGTTCGATGTGGGGCTCGATTTTCTCCACGTCGAAGTCGCCAATCCATCGCCGATGCCGACGATTCATAGGCGGTGTGCCGGCGATGCTGTGCGATCCTCCGACTCCATCAGCTCCGACCCCGTCTGGAGGGGGCTCATATCTTAGCTGCCAGGAACTTGTTCGCCATCGGGGGCACCTGTCCCAGGGCGGCTTGGACACTTACACCCCCAGTGCATTGGCAGGTTGGGGCATAAACTCTCCGGCCGCCCTGGGACAGGCGCAGCCGGCCGCGGAGACTTCATTCTGCAGCGTTCTCCGCGCGCTCCCGAGTGGCTCTGGCCCTGCCCTACAGGACATCCGCGAGAAGAGCGTGATCTCGCCCTACGCGAACACCGGCGCCTACATCTTCAAGAGCGCCAAGGCGGGGGCACAGCGGGGCGCCAGGGCGCGGCGCGAGCGTTCCAGACCGGGGTCCTGGGGCGCCGCGCGGCTGTGGCCGCGGCCTCCTCCTCCTCGTCCTCCTCCTCCTCCTCCTCCTCCTCCTCCTCCTCCTCCTCTTCCTCCTCCTCCTCCTTCCCCTCCTCCTCCTCCTCCCTCCTCCTCCTCCTCCTCCTCCTCCTCCTCCTCCTCCTCCTCTCCTCCTCCTCCTCCTCCTCCCCTTCCTCCTCCTCCTCCTCCTCCTCCTCCTCCTCCTCCTCCTCCTCCTCCTCCTCCTCCGGCTGTGGCTGTGGCTGTGGCCGCGCGGCTGTGGCCGCGCGGCTGGGTACTGAAGGAACTGTCAATCGGCGGCGAGCGAGGGGGGCAAGGGAGAAGCAGAAGGCCTTCTCTGAAGGCGGTGGGGCTTCTCAGAACCTCTCGGGCCTTCTGAAGAGCTTGCTCCAGCTTTCGTCGCGCCGACGGCGCCGATGCATCGCCGACCTCGCCAATGCATCGCCGATGCATCGCCGATGCATCGGTGATGCATTGACGCTGCGGCACGATCTTCCGACCCAATCATTTCCGACATCATCTGAGAGCTCTCGAAATCGGGACGAAGACCGACAGCGGCGCCTATCCGTTTTGGACAGGAATCTCGAGGAAGAGAACCCGTCTAACCACACTGTCGAGTTTGCTCAGAAGGTCGACGCTGCCAAATCAAGGGTACCGTTGTGTCCTGTGTTTTGCGTCCCATGTCTTTTTCGTTCCTATGGCAATGTGGCCCTTGGAAGGGTCTCGTGTCCTCTCACGTGTCCTCTCCAATCCAATTCGACTGTAGGCCCTTGGAGGTCGCCGCGGAGTTCTTGGATCTGCGCTGGACCCCTCCTGGGCGGTGCCTCTGGCGCCGCACCTGGCGCCGCCCCTCTCGGGTGGACCGAAAGGGTAGGATAGGGAAAAGGGGGGGGTGCGAAATCTGCTGTATGCAGCTGGTTTCCGCTTCGCCGCCGAGCCCATTCCTCGATACTTAGACGCCTCCCGGCGCCAGGAGGTCCTTGGAAGACCAGCTACGTGAGCTGATTCTCTGCCCTGCCCTTTGCTGTCCTGCCCTTTCTCCCCCCCCCCGATGCCCAGAGGCTTGCAAAAAACTGCACAACCATAAACTCTTGAACTCCGCGCGGGTTTCTGGGCTCTGCGCTGGAGGCCCCCTTGGCGGCGCCGATGGCGCCGCCCACTGGCGCCGCCCCTCGCGCGCGGAGCCCCCGCCGGCGGGGGCCCCCTTCGCTGGCGCCCCGTGCCGGCGGGAGGGGGGTCCAGCGCCGACCCATGCGATACGATAGGGATGCGTAAATTCCTTCCCTTCCCTTCCCTTCCCTCAGGAAGGAAGGAGGAGGAGGTTCCTTCCTTTCCCTTTCCCTCAGGACGGAAAGGGAGGAGGTACCTGCCCTTTCCTTTCTCTCATGAAGGAGGAGGAGGAGGAAGAGAAGGAGGAGGAGGAGGAGGAGGTTCATTCCCTTCCCTTTCCTTCAGGAAGCAGGAGGATGATGAGGTTTCTTCCCTTCCCTTACCCTCAGAAAGATCAGGAAGAGGTTCCGTCCCTTCCCTTCCCTCGGGAAGGAGGCCTTCCTCTGCCCTCCAGTTGCGGCAGTGTTTCCCCCCATGTTCTCCGATGCCTCACCCGGACAAGAGGTGACCCGGGAGGCGCGGGTCCATCGGCACGCGTTCCAGGGGTTTCAGCTCGGCCACGCGCAGAAGGAGGGAAGCTGGTGGGGGGAGGGCTTTTAGAAGCACCCGTGCTTCCTAGAGGGCGCGGGCATCGTCTGCAGATGTAGGGCCCGCGTTTTCTAAGATCCGCCTCCTTCCAAGAAGCCTTCCCCCCTCCCCCATACCCCCTTGAGCTCCACCGAAAAGGGGCCCAGGAGGCGCAAACTCATCGACAAACGTTCCAGGTGATTCGAGATGTTGCAACATTTCCTGGGTCTTTCTCTCTCTCTCTCTCTCTTCCCGTCCGTTAGCCGTACCTCCCCCATGTTCCCCTGAAAAGCAGCATGATATTTGTATGAAGAGCAACGTGTGCTGGTGTTTGTGTTTTTGTCCGTCTTGAAATTTACGCGGACCTCGGACAGTTTGTATATATGCTCTTCTTCCTTCCTCTAGACTTGCTGTCGGTGTCGCTGCGGGCGTTGTCCACTCGACCAAAATTGTGCCTGCGGCAGCTGCTGGTTCTGGACAACATTCGCTGTCCAGCATGGTGCCCAATGCTTCCGTGCCAATTTCGGGCGGCACGAGCTGCTCTTCCAGTTCCCCCACCCCTCCATCCTCGCCAGCGACAAGCATGTCCATATCCACGCCCTGTCGGTCCGGATGCTGAGGCGCAGTCCCGTGGGCAAAGCGCGATCCCCTGGATACGCTCCGGGCCGAGCATCTGCGCAGAGCCGTCCCGTATCCCACGCGAGAAGTCCACGACCGCGAGGCCGTAGATATCTGTATTATTCCCTGCCGCTATTTTCCGCCAGCGTCCCCATTTTCCTTCTCTCTCCTCCTGCTCGTTTCTGCGTTGGTGATCCTGGAGCATGTGTCTGCGGAGTCTGACTCGGCGAGCAGCGAACTTGCTGGATTCAAGGTCGCGTAGAGAAAGGAGATTGGCAGAGTAGGTGAGAATCAACCGCTCAAGAGAACAATGCAAGAAGCAGCTGCATATAGCAGATAGCCCGCACGGGTTGGCGTAATCAATCGATGTAGCATTCCACATTCGACCGTGACCAGTGGGACCCGCCTCCGCCCCAGCCTTCCGCTGCTTCTCCCCGTCCTCCCCGTCCTCTTCCGCTGATAGCCGACGCCTCGCGCCTTCTCGTGACCTCCTCCGCCGCTCGGCTTCTGGCATGGGCCAGCTGCCGCGGGAAGCGTGTAGATCGCTCACCGTCCGTGGCCCAGGGAACCCACGAGCCACCAGAGAACTCCTAAGGGGCAACAAGATTACCCTGGCGACGTACCCAATCCTTGCGCAATGCAGGGCGTAAGTACATCAGGATTGCTACAACGGGGGCGATGACGTAACATGGACGCATGTGATTTTGCGAGCAGCGATCGGAAGGCTCGTAGGCCCCCGATCAAACTATAAGGGCGTCGTAGTGGTTACTAACGCAGCGCCCCCCAGGGACGGCGAGGTCTCGCTCAGGTCCCCTCCGTGCCCCACTCCGCAGGACCCACCAGCAGCCCTCGAAAGTGGCGACAGTGTCGCAGATCGCAGCCCCCCAGGGACGGCGAGGTCTCGCTCAGGTCCCCGCGGCGCCTCACTCCGCAGGACCCACCAGCAGCCCTCGAAAGTGGCGACAGCGTCGCAGATCGCAGCCCCCCAGGGACGGCGAGGTCTCGCTCAGGTCCCCGCGGCGCCTCACTCCGCAGGACCCACCAGCAGCCCTCGAAAATGGCGACGGTTTCGCAGATCGCAGCCCCCCAGGTACGGGACGGCGAGGTCTCGCTCAGATCCGCGCAGTGCCTTACTCCGCAGGACCCACCAGCAGCCTTCGAAAGTGGCGACAGCGTCGCAGATCGCAGCCCCCCAGAGTCGGCGAGGTCTCGCTCAGATCCGCGCGGTGCCTCAGTTTGCAGGACCCACCAGCAGCCCTCGAAAGTGGCGACAGCGTCGCAGATCGCAGCCCCCCAGGGACGGCGAGGTCGACCTCAGGTCCCGCGCGTTGCCTCAGCCCGCAGGACCCACCAGCAGCCCTCGAAAGTGGCGATAGTGTCGCAGATCGCAGCCCCCCAGGGACGGTGAGGTTTCGCTCAGATCCCCGCGGTGCCTCATTCCGCTGGACCCACCAGCAGCCCTCGAACGCGGCGACAACTTAGCAGATCGCAGCGCCCCATGGACGGCGAGGTCTCGCTCAGGTCCGCGCGGTGCCTCAGTCCGCTGGACCCACCGGCAGCCCTCGAAAGCGGCGACAGTGTCGCAGATCGCAGCCCCCCAGGGACGGCGAGGTCTCGCTCAGGTCCCCGCGGTGCCTCACTCCGCAGGACCGACCAACAGCACTCGAAAGTGGCGACAGCTTAGCAGATCGCAGCCCCCCAGGGACGGCGAGGTCTCGCTCAGGTCCCCTCCGTGCCCCACTCCGCAGGACCCACCAGCAGCCCTCGAAAGTGGCGACAGTGTCGCAGATCGCAGCCCCCCAGGGACGGCGAGGTCTCGCTCAGGTCCCCGCGGCGCCTCACTCCGCAGGACCCACCAGCAGCCCTCGAAAGTGGCGACAGCGTCGCAAATCGCAGCCCCCCAGGGACGGCGAGGTCTCGCTCAGATCCCCGCAGTGCCCCACTCCGCAGGACCCACCAGCAGCCCTCGAAAGTGGCGACAGTGTCGCAGATCGCAGCCCCCCAGGGACGGCGAGGTCTCGCTCAGGTCGCCGCGGTGCTTCACTCCGCAGGACCCACCAGCAGCCCTCGAAAGTGGCGACAGCGTCGCAGATCGCAGCCCCCCAGGGACGGCGAGGTCTACCTCACGCAGTGCCTCATTCCGCAGGACCCACCAGCAGCCCTCGAAAGTGGCGACAGTGTCGCAGATCGCAGCCCCCCAGGGACGGCGAGGTCTCGCTCAGGTCCCCGCGGTGCCTCACTCCGCTGGACCCACCAGCAGCCCTCGAAAGTGGCGACAGTGTCGCAGATCGCAGCCCCCCAGGGACGGCGAGGTCCGCACAACGCAAAAGGAGACAAGAGGGGAGCGGGAGACGGTAGGCGGGAGGAGGAGGAGGATTGTAGCCCGCAGTGCTCTATTCAAAACGAATACCCAACCAAGGAGGGTTTGGAAACAAATCCTCCCCGTCCTCCTGCTCGCACGCCCACTCTGCTCTGCGAGGCGTTCAAGGCCGCCGCGGAGGACATCCTCAGCGCCCCCGAGGAGGCGGCGAAGACCGGGCTGTACGCCTCCATCCTGATCTCGTCCATGCTCGCGAAGGGGGACCGGCTCTCAGAATACCCGGGCGAGAGGAGGAGGAGGAGTAGGAGGAGGAGGAGGAGGAGGAGGAGGACGACGATGAGGAGGAGGGGGAGGAGGAGGGCTCCTCCGAGGAGGGCGAGGAGGCACAGGCCGATCGCCCGTCCGACTTCTCGATCCGCTCCTCGGCCTTGCTGCCAGTCCCATCGTGGGCGAGCAACATATTTGCGGGTCTGGCCCCTGGGCCGCGACCCCGTGGATACGGGGCGCCTTTTTCGGATGCCCCGCACGGATCGTATCCCGGAATCCAGACCGCGGCGGCGTGGACACGAATACGTTCGCCGTCCGTGGTCCCAGATCCAGACGCGGGTTGCGCCGTGAAAGCCAACGTCATCGAGGCCCACGTCATGTTCGTCCCCCAGTCCCAGACCCAGACGCTGGGCCCACGTCGTGAGAATTGACGACGTCGAAGGTCGGGGACCTCCGACGTCACGTGAGCGACGTAAGCATAAAGCACAGGCGGCTCCGACCGCGCGGACACTCGCGCACACGGTCAAGACGCCGAAATGGGGAGCAATTTGGGGTTTGGAGGGGCTCTGGTTTTCGCACCGCTTTATACCCATCCCCACTGAGCCAAGGTATCTCAGTCCCACCAGCCCATCCTCCTAGGTGGGGAGAGGCCCCGCGAAACCCGAAGGAGCATGCATGTGTCCCCACCTAGGTGGGTAAGTCGGCCACTGGGGTCAAGGCCACGCCAGTGGGGATTGGGATCGGTTAAACGATGCTCGTCTATAAGACGGGGAACCCTTTCGCGGCCGATGCTCGGCGCGGCCACCCGGGCCCCTTCGTGTTCCTCTCGGCGCTCCTGCTGGCAGCACTGTGGCTGCAAGCCGCACGATAGCACCCATGCGGGGTGCCGCGTGAGCCCTACCCATCCTCGACCACCTGCACTGCGCTGGGGGCGGCGAAGCTGAATCTGCCTCCTTGGCGGCGCGCCGCATAGCGCAGTTGCCGCAAGGTGCCCGTCTAAGCCGTGCCGGGGCGCCAGCGACTGCGCTGCTTGCCCTGTGTCTGCGCGGTGCGCCGCCAGCGCTGGCCGCCCGCGCGGGCCGCCGCGCTGCATGCCCTGGCGCGCCCTCGTGCGAGGGCCCCGCCGCGCTGCAGGTCGGCGCCGTCTGCGGCGCCGCCACGTCTTTCCCGCGACGCCGGGCATGCCGCCTGCTCTCCCCCCCCCAAGTGGGTGGGGGGCAATGACATCGCACCGGCCGCGAGGGGAGGCTAGAGAGAGGTCGCGACCGAGGGCATTAGATAGGGCCCAGCTGAGCTGAGGGCTGGTGGCTTAGTGTGATGGCCTGTCAGAATCGATCTCGCAGCCGAGAGTGCGCGCACGCCATCTGTCGAGATAGTCGAGGAGGTTGCCATTGCTTACAAGACATTTCATGATTTTAGGTTTTCGCCGAGCCCAATACCCCCACAGCAGCTGAAGTCGGCTGCTCTGGCGGCACTGCGGTCAGTCCGCATGTGCGCTCCGCTGGAAGCGGGCTAGTGCGGTGGCACTCCGTTCTGCTGGCACGCTCGTCCCCCGAGGTCGGTGGGGTGCGTACGGATCGAGCGCAGTCAAGCAGGATCACAAGGATGAGTAAAAGGCTTCCCAAGAGTGTCATGGCAACTTCGGCTGAGCGCGTCGCTCCGCCGGTTCTGGCCCGCCGCGCTTTGGCGCGATACGCTGCCCACTTCCTGGTCCCAAACCGTCAACGGCCAGAGCTTTTCCCGCTCCCCCTGCCCCCGCTAAGGCAACGCCCGGCACGCTAAGCAAAAGTCCCTGACCGTGACCCTTTCGCCATGGGCCCTATGCTTACGACTTCGGCCTCAACTCGTGCGTCCAAGGTGCTTTGCGTTCGGCCTCGCCTCCTTATGATCTGGTTGCGCTGTACATGCATCCCTTCCTGGGGCCGCACGGGCCTCGGGATTCCCGTCGGTCCCCGGCCCCGTCCCCACGTGGGGTCAGCTTCTCGCTGTGGCGGGTCGCCTCTGCGATGGGCCCCCCATGGCCTGACCGCAGGTTGGTGGCACGCACGAGGGGGCGTCGCGAGGGGGGTGGCCTCCCGAGGATGCGGCGGGGGTGCTTGGAAGGCCAGGCCTTCTCTTGAGGGCATGGGAAAGGCATGGATTCTGAAAAGCCGCTTGTCCTCTTAGAAGCCTCCCCCGCCTTCTTACACGGTCCCCCCTCCCCCGCGCAATCCTGCCGCGCGCGCCGACAATCCGGAGCGGGCCCGATGGCGGGCGTGGTGGTGATTTGGTCGTGAGTCGCCCGCTAGACACGGAAGGCGTCTTCTGGACCTCCGATAGTTTTGTTGTTGCCACAATCCGCGGCCCAGTTCTCTCCCGACCCACGCCCAGAGACAGAGAGAGCGAGAGACACAGACAGGGGCATCTGCATAAAGAGAGAGGCGGAGGCAGAGACATCCCAGAGAGAGCCAGTTGCAGCAAGAGTGCGCCTGTGCTCTGTCCGGGCTTGTCTCTCTCTCGCGATACCCATCAGCACTTCCTGGCGGCCCACCCGGGCTTTGTGCATCGGCAACACCCCAACATACTTATACTATATGTGCGTCGCCCCCCCCAGGGGCGACGCGCGCACCGAGAAATCTTATAGTATATGCGTCGTGGCGGGCGCTTTCTGGCCACACCGCTCGGGAAACGATATACTACAAGATGGGTATACTATATGTTCGGGCCCACGCCCTCGCATTTTCCGCCCCGGGCCATTTGTCCATGGCCCCGGGGCCCAGGATCGGCCCCGCGGAGGCCGAAACCGAGGAACCATTGCTGGGACGTCACAGTAACGATCCGCCGTCATTGTCGTCGTCGTCGTCGTCGCCGTCGCCGCCGCCGCCGCTGGCGTCGTCGTATTCGTCGTCGTCGTCGTATTCGTCGTCGATGTCGTCGTCCTCGTCCTCGTCGTCGTTGTCGTCGTTGTCGTCCTCCTCGTCGTCGTCGTCCTCCCCCTACGGTTCGGAGGACAGCTTCGTCGGGCTGCAGGTCAAGCAGTCGCAGTTCGCGATCGTGGCGACGCCCAGGCCAAGAAGTAGCTCGAAGCGCCCCCTCCCCTGGGCCATACGACAGGGGGGCGGGGAGGAGGATCCAGATCTCCGATCTGCCAGTTTCCTCAATCCAAGCGTGTTTCCATGGTTTCTATTTCCTGGGGGCGATGTCGGGCCCCGGGGCCATCAAAGACGGATCTGGAAGGAAGAATCTGTTCTCGGGAACGGGGTCCGGAATTCTGGGGCCGCGGATTTTGAAGAAACGTAATGGGGGATGTCTGGAGAGGGGGAAGGGGGAGGGGGAGAGAGGAGGAAGGTAGGAAGGTAGGGGAGGTAATGGTGTTGATGATGGTGATGATGCTGTTGATGATGATGATGCTGATGATGATGATGATGATGATGATGGTGGTGGTGGTGGTGGTGGTGGATGATGATGATGATGATGATGGTGGTGGTGGTGGTGGTGGTGGTGATGATGATGATGATGATGATGATGATGGTGGTGGTGGTGGTGGTGATGATGATGATGATGATGGAGGAGGAGGAGGAGGAGGCCTCCTACTTCTTCCTCCCCCCTACCTCCCTCCCTCCATCTCCCCACTCTGCCCCCTCCGACCTCGTCCTCTCCCTCCCTCACTTTGGGAGGAAAGAGATGGACACGGAGTGGCAGCAGCATCACATGCATTTCAAGCAGGATTATGTTGAGGAGCAGCAGTTGGGAGGGGGGGAGGGGGGGGGGGGGGGGCGAATTGTGATGAGCAAAAGGTGAGACACATTCGGAGCATGATAGCGCTAAGGATGCAATGAGGCTGCAGATGATGGTGATGATGCTGATGATGGTAGTGGTGATGTTGATGGTGCCGATGATGCTGATGATACAGATGATGGCGATCATCATGATGATGCTGATGATGATGGTGATGATGGTGGTACCGATGCTGGTGGTGATGGAGGTAATGCGTATGCTGACTCTGTTGATGATGATGCTGCTGATGCTGATGCTGATGATGATGTTGACGATCGTGCCGATGATGATGGTGATGGGATTGATGATGATGACGATGATGATATTGGTGATGCTGATGTTGATGATTACGATGCTAGTGTGGATAATGCTGATGTTCATGATGTTAATGGTGATGCCGATGTTGATACTGATGACGATGATGCTGATGCTGATGCTGCTGGTGATGATGACGATGCGGATGTCGATGATGATGATGATGATGATGGTTGTGGTGGTGGTGGTGCTGCTGATGGTGATACGCATGCTGGTGATGCTGGTACTGATGGTGATGGCGATGGTGATGCTAACCATACTCATGCTGTTGCTGATGCTGGTGACAACGATGACGACGATGCTGATGGTGACGACGATGATGACGATGCTGATGGTGGTGACGATGAGGCTGATGCTGGTGTTGCATGATGCTGATGATGGTGATCATGCTGAAGATGCTGATGGTGATGCTGCTGACGCTGATGATGATGAGGATGAGGATGACGATACTGATGACGACGCACGATGGTGATGCTTACGTTATTGGTGGTGGTTGTGGTGAGTTTGAGTGTGATGGTGACGGTGATAGTGATGAGGATGGTGGTCAGGCGTGCGAAGATGACCACTATAATGCGTATGCTGATCGTGCTGATGATGATGTTGGTGGTGATGCATGTGAGGGTGATGCTGACGATGGTGGTCATGCTGATGGTGATGCTGGTGATGCTGATGAGCCCCATGAGGAAGAGGAGGGTCATCTTATTGGGTGGGTAGAGATGGACAGGAGGACCATACGTAGGAGGAGGACAATGAGGAGGAGAGGGAGACGGAGGAGGAGGAGGAGGACCAGGAGCAGGTGCAGAAGCAAGAGCGAGTGCCGCGTCAATTCTTGAAGTCAAACGCCCGCACCTCGAAGCTCGAAATAGGAGCAGGAGGAGGTCCAACCAGAGGATGGAACAGACGAGAACGCAAAGGACGAACGAGGAGGAGGATGAGGAGGAGGAGGAGGAGGAGGAGGAGGATAACGAAGAGAAGGAGGAGGATGTGGAGAAGGGTGAGGATCGGGACGAGCGGGGGTGGGTGCGTCGGGTGTGTGATTCAGTGCTGAGGGGTGGTTGGACATGGGCTGTAGGTTCTCGAGACGGAGCAGGAGCATCAGGGTAGGAGGTGGTGGAGGCGGCTAAGGGTGCGGGAGGGCGGATGGAGGGGGAGTGGTGCGGGGGGAAGGGGGCGGGGAGATGAGGATGGTTTTGATGAGGAGGAAGCGAAGGGACACAGAGATCGCGGAGGAGGCTCGACGGTGAGGAGGGGAAGAGATAGGGTGGAAGAGGCAGGATCCTGAAGTGTAGTGGAACAAGGATGTGGTGATGAGTAGGCGGGGAAGAGGCAGGAGGGTGAGGGAGGAGGACGAACGGGACGTGGAGAGCACAGACGGGAGAAGGACCCAGAGGATGTGGAAACGAAGAGTTGTGGTAGAAGAGACAAGATGCTTAGGCAGGAGGGGTACACCAGATAAGAGGTGAGGAGGAAGGGGGGAAGGAGGAGGAGGAGGAGGAGGAGGAGGAGGAGGAGATGAAGGGCTCACGGGGCGGATGAATTGTAGCTTCTGATGGGCGAAGGGGGCAGGACGAGCATGAACAGGAGTAGGAGGAACGGGTATACGGCGGATGAGGCCGTAAAGCGGGCATTATTGTTAGAACGAGGGGAAAGGGAGGACGAACAGGAGCGGCATGACGTTTCCTGCTGCTCATCGATAGGCAGCTGGAGGCCTTCATTTGGCGGGTCTCGAACGGGGAGGTGGTCATGCGGCGCAAGATGCGCTTCTGCTTCGACCTCGAAGCCACTGGGCTCCGGCAATCCCCACCCACAACTGCCCCGTTCATAGCTCCTCCCGTGCGTCCTCCTCGTCTCCCGCCTTTCCTATCCTTACCTTCGCATCACCACCTCCACCACCATCATAATCATCACCATCATCGCCATCAGCGTCATGATCATTAGCATCATCACCATCAACATCATCATCATCATCATCATCATCAACAACATCATCATCGTAATCATCATCATCCTCATTATCTTCATCAGCAGCATCATCATCATCGTCATCATCGTCATCGTCGTCGTCGACGTCAGCACCATCAGCATCATCACCATCATCATTATCATCATTATCATCATCATCGTCGTCGTCGTCACCACCACCGTACTCATCATCATCGTCATCATCATCATCGTCATCATCAGCATCACCATCAACATCATCATCAGTATCACCAGCATAATCATCATCATCTGATAGTCATCACCATCATCACCACCATCACCATCATCATCAGCCTCATCAGCCTCATCAACATCTGCATCAGCATTATCATCACCATCATCATCATCGTCATCACCACCATCACCATCATCATCATCACCATCATCAGCATCATCTTCATCATCTGCATCAGCATCATCATCACCATCATCATCATCAGCATCGTCGTCATCATCATCACCATCACCATCATCATCACCATCATCGTCATCATCGTCATCATCATCACCATCATCACCATCATCACCATCATCATCACCGTCATCATCATCAGCACCA